CAGCTCCACCCCGCGCGCATGCTGCGGCCCAGCGAGTGCGAGCGGGCGGGCACCGCGGGCCCGAGGCGGGGGACAGCTAAGGGTCGGCGGCTCTGTCTCCTGTGGGGCCCGTTATTCAACTTTAATTATCAAGGTTTCCAGTAATAGGCAATGTAAAAAAAAAAAAAAAATAGAAATCAAGACTCAACCAAGTTGCAGAGCATCATGGTATAGGCGTGTCATAGACACCTCAGTGTTTCCAAGGAGTGTGTGTGAGCGTATGTGTTTGCGGGGAATTTAAAGCAAGCTAGAGGCTGGAAACTGGGTGTTATTTCAACCGTAACCCACAGTGATACATGTGTTTACATTCACATGTGTTGGTGCGCACGCATTTACATTCACATAAACCTGTGTAGACGTTTCCATTTGTATTCACTCCCTCATTGCCATGGAGTCGGACCTGATTCATAGTTGGCCCTCCAGCAAGTTTTCTGAGGCTGTAAATCGTCATGGAGGAAGAGCGCTAATCTTTCTCTGGCATATTTATATATTTATACACCTATTTATATTTGTTTAAGCAGGTATGTGATACATAAATGTGTCTACGTGCTTATATTTCTGTTGTAAACATGCTAACGAAGACATGCGTTGCAATATGTGTTAAATGGCTGCCACGTGGTCTGTATGTTTGGCAACTTGGAGGGGCGGATAAGAGGAATTTTATTTCTTTATGGCAGAAAACACTTCATGCCGTGATGTGTGTATCTTGCTCAGCACAGGGGCCAGCGATTGGCAGCTCCGAACAGTTTGACTCACAGCTCTGGGGTCCGAACCCAGTTCCTAGCTGACTCTCTAGCAGGTTTTCGGAGTCTGTAAATTGCAAGGGAGAAGATTGAGGAGCTAGTGGATTCGAACTGGTTGCCTTTGGGACTGCAGTCTATAATAACGTACAGGCATGCACGTCAATTCCATTTCAGAATCTTAGAACCTTCTGCTCCATTCTCCCCCCCCTCCCTCATTATAGATAGACTGTGACAACCTTCTAGTCACTGTCCACCTCCAGTTTAAAAATTTCCCGAAACTGAGACCCTGTGAACCTGGGATCTAGGTTTTTGGCTCCTGTCAGGATTCTGGGGACCCTCCTGGGTAGCATGGCCTGTTGTCCAAATAATCTCTGAAGACCCGGGTTAGAAAATTCTGGAAAGGGCCCGAGCCCCCCAAAACCACTGTAGTCTTTCAGCACAAAGACCAGGGTAAAGTCAGATTGGCGTCCAAGAGTGTTCCATTATGCATGTGTGTTACTTTTTTTTTTTTTTTTTAACTTAGGAAGCTAAAATAATTCTAGGTTCCGCTCACATAAATCGGATTAGCAACCCACAGAGGGGATTTGAGCACTTGCTGCTTCTGAAGGTATAAAGGTCAAGTAAGGTATTTTGGAGGAAGTCAGCTTACTATTAAAAAAAAGGGGAGGGGAAGAGGGGGTACAAAATATTAAGGAGCAAGCCACTTGCAAATGAAGAGCTCAGGAAGCTGACAGGCAGCCTGAATTGTCTGACACCAAAATAAGGAGGCAGTAAATTACCTTCTTTCTACTCATCGACACTCATGCCCCAAAGTGTTTATTATGCCTCTAAAACGATTTCCTTCTCTATCGCATTTAATTGAGAAGTTAACAATTGTTCCTGTCATCGGTGAGATTTTAAAAAAGAAAAACCTACGTAAGACTTAAATCAGTATGCCTTTTTTTAAGGAGGGGAGGAAAGTTGATCGCTGTTGGAAGCACCCCAAGGAAAAAAACGAAAGAAAAATAAATCTCTGGTGATGACATAGAGGGATGCATTGCAGCTTTGAGCTTGCATAGCACAGAAAGGAAAACCTTGTCTCTTTATGGGACGCTGTCTGTAGTCAGGGATGAGGGCAACTGGCACCTCTGAGCCTGCTGTTCCATTACAGGGTTACAATGTCTTTTATGAGTTGTCCCACTGCCTTTCTCTAACTAACCCAGCTTTCTAAATTTGGCCCTGTTCCTCCTTGGAGGAAAGAGGTTTGTTTTTTAGAGATGGCTGCCCTCTTGTGGTAGAAGTGAGTCAAAACGTCTGATTCAAAGAAGTCCATGAACGAATGAATGAATGAATGAATGAATGAATGGGTGACCTCTAAAAATGAGCTCCTTATGCTGTGTGTAGAACGACTATGCCTTTCAGTTATCCAATCCCAGGCAGTATCAATAGTTAAAAGTGGAAAGTTTGAAGGAAAATGAAATGAAAATCTATCTCTTTTAGTGGTAAGAAGCTGCTCTGCAATCCCGAAGGCACGCAGTTCAAATCCAGGGGAGAAGAATGGGCAGTATCTAACCGCTGAAGGGTCAGCCATGGGTTGGTTCCGACTCGATGATACACAGCAAACAATAACCGAGCTCTAGCAGTCATGTTGTGATGACAGCTCACATAAGGATTGAGCTGGGCCATCAAGTTGACTAGAACTCACAGTAAGCCTATGATCTGACCCTTGCCGCATTCTCAAGATCTCCAACATGCTC